TAATTTACAATTATGATTAGTGACTCGGCTTGAATTGAACTATTTTTACTAAATTAGATTTAATGTCTTTATTATTGTTTGATAAATTTTTTTAAAAAAAGTAAGATAGGAACTAATTAAAATTGCACAGCAATTCAATATATCGGAACTTCTATATCGAGACGTTTGTTTTGTTAAACGACAAACTAGGTCGGTCGTTTTGTTTTAATGTAAAGACCAACTTATGCACCAATTATTTTGGTGTATGTCTGCATCAGGCATCAATATGGAAGGGTGTCATGGCCTGCTGGCAGTGCCAATCGTACCTGCTTATGTGGCCATGATTGGCCAAGGAAGGAACATGCTTGATGATTACGTAGCTTGCAAAAAAGGACTTCCAAGCGGGAAGAAACTCAAAACTCACGTATGTCTTTGTATGTTTGTGTTTGTGTTGAGCAATCATAGTCGAAATTCCTTTAATTAAATAAATAAAGAGTCATGTTTACTGATTGCATGCGTAATGTTTAAACAAAAACTTAGTTAATACTATAAAATCTTTTAATCCGTAAATTAAATGATCCATAAACAAAAATGATGATCTCAATTAACAAAACACTGGAAGGAAAAACTCTTTAATTATTTATGTAGCACTAAATTATAAGTTTATTGACAATATAATATTATTATATACTAGCCCATTGGCACATGCTCACTCATGCCAATTGGTTTTATTTTTTATTTTTTATTTTATTTTTAGAATTAAGAAAAGACAGGGTAGTTATGTTCCATAAAAGTAGGACCTATTATATGATTTTGTTTTTAATTTTAATTTTTTTAAGATGAAAAATGTGAATTTACCATATTATCTTCATTTAATTAATAATTTCAATTCTTAATGTTTGAATTAACCAATGACATTTTTTGATATTTTGAATGTTTCACCATTCTCTGCATTTTGCTTTATACATATAGATGCATGCTGCTGAAAGTTACATCTCCTACCAAAACTTTATTATTATTATTTCAAAAATAGTAAACCATTTTAAGATTTTGCAGAATCTAATCTATGCCATCTTTATCAAAGTATCCCCCTAATATATATAATTTTTCTAATTATATATATATATATATTTTTTTTATAGAAAGAAATGTTCTTATGGCTTGTTGCTCATGGTTAAAGAATTGGATTCTCCGATGACCAGCAGCAAGAGTACTGTATATATAAATATATGTATATCTACTTCCACCATTGCAATCAAACCAAATATGACAAGAAAACATGCACACAGAGGAGATAAAGAGGGAGAGAGATAAACAAAAAGGGTTTCAGAGATATTGACCTTTGGTGGAGGAGGAGGAGGAGGAGGAAGAGCTGCAGGTGGTTGCAGGCAGCAGAGAATTGACTTCAACTGTGTGAGCATGTTCTCTTTCTTCCAAGGCAAAGCCCTTCTCCAAAGAGCACAGAATTAGGCATAGAAAACCAGAGCAACAAATGATATACCTCATGAGGAAGGAGGAGCTAGAAATGGGAGCTGCCATGATTATTTCACAAGCTAGCTAACCTAAACTCCCACCCACAGATGTAAAATAAAATGATGTTTGCTCCTCAAAGCATACAACCCTTTAGCCTTATAAGCTGAATGGAGAGACAATGGGTTTCCAATTCTCACACGTCACCCATTATAACAGTAAAAAATTATTATGCAGCTTCCACATCAATGTCAAATGCACAAAACGACATCATCCATGGATTTGTTTCGAAAATATAAGTAGATATGAGACTATATAGGATGTTACATTAATTAACATAAATACATATGTAATATACTTATATGTATTTTCTGATATCATATAATAATTTCTCGTGAAACTACTTTTTTTTTTTTTAAAGATAAATTGTGTCCAACCATCGCGTACAGATATTGACAAATACATAGCGCTTAAAAGTGCCTATAGGCTATAGGTGAGGCAGCCTTAGCTCACCATTTTGTTTGGGATAAAACACAGCATGGGCCTTGGCTATGCCTATGACCTTAGGCAACCGCCCTACATTGACCTCACTCTTCATCCTTAGCACTAAACGTTTGATAATTAATTCTGGTAGATTAATAGGGGAAAGTTTGCTACATTCCATTTGCATTTGTACTTTCTCTTTCTGCTGTCGTATGAGGATGAAAACCGTTTATTTTCGAGGTATAGCACTTTTTATACAAAAAAAAAAAAAAAAAACTAATTGGAGTTCGTTTAACCTAATTGAGTAACATTGGGATAGTTCTGTGTTTGTCCAATAACAATTAAATGACCAAAACAATTTCCGATTTGGTTGTTTTTTTTACATATGATTTAAAGAGTGCCCTAAAAGAGACGTTTCTAATTATTAAACTACATTGTAGTATGAGATCGAATGAGAGAATGTAGAATGAAGACTTTCCTGTATTAAAAGCACATCCATTTATCTGTCCTACTGATAGCTAAAGGGATCCCACACCTAATTGCTTACTGAACCCGTGTACTACCCTAATTAGCATTAATGTATGGACATGATTTTCTTGTTAATTAGGCAAAGTCTGAGATTAGGAACCTTAATTAAATTATTGCATTCATCTCATCCTTCCATAAGAAACATAAAATATTAACAATCAGTATTTTTCAGCATCCATTATTTGTTTTGTTCTCTTGTTGTTATACCATACGAATGGCACTACTTCATAGTTGGTAGTTTCACGCTTGAATGACTTGGGTCCAACCAAAATCTTCTGTAAAGACAACGCTGTAATTGTCAACAATGTTAGGCCTTTTTGTTCTCTTTTATTGGTTGGTTTTATCACTTTCACACAGAAAAAGAGATAAGAAGCAATCAATCATCCTGTAATCTGCGGCACTTGATTTTTCGGTGGAGAGAGGCTGCTGGGATGGGATGGGGTGGGAGGTCGATGGAATCATGAAATTATTTTTCATGCTTTTATTTGCTCAAAAAGTAAAAATATTGGATTTCAAGTGGTTTCCCACCCACCCACCCAAAATCCCCCCACCCCACTTCTAACGTACTCCACAAGTTAAAACTCCACTATAACTAACAATTATTCGTCCTATTATGTAAGTCTCTGGCATGCTGATTAATATTTTATCATCTAAATTGTATAACATGAATTCTTCCGATTGATAGTTTGACAACATTATAAAATATTAGTACTAGTACGACTAATATCAATATTAGTATTCATACATATCGTGTATAGGAGCCATGTTGACCTGATCAACATAATTGCACACTTGCCGAAGAAATAATTGAGTCCACGAAGACCACACCAATCATCCAATCCAACTAATTGAAATTATTACAAGAAAACGAAGTGTTGTTTAATTTAAACAATTGGTCTCTATCATTAGTTCTTTTCAAAAATTATTATTGGAACAATTCATTTGTTTATAAATTACTATATTCTCCACTCGGACATCTATGTTCGTAATCTGGCTCATCAATTCAGTTAGCTATTGATATTTTCCTTAAACAGTTTGTCAAAATGCCTCAAAAAGGTTGAGGTAGAAACTAATTGTATTTACCATTGTAGCGTGAAGAAAAATATCTGAATCCGCCACTATATTATTGCGATCCAAACTAAACTTATCATTTCTGTACTTCATGATATTTGAGATTAAGACAATCGTTGTCATAATAATGTAATTGCCTTAGTAGAATTAAAGAAAATGGGCGGCCAGCAGCAAGGTTGGTCCAGCAAAGTTATCTTGTGTTTGTTTGATTGTGAATGGGACATCCCTAATTTCTGGTGGGAATAAATTAATATCTGGATTCTCTTATCAGAGAGAGCGAAGATGATCAGTTGGAATCTTGCTTGGGTGTGGGGTAGACATAGAGGTTGTAGTGGGTGGTGGAAGAAAGCTGGAATCTGTCCCAAAAAATGAGTGAGAGAGAGATGCTGATCGAGATTTTGATGGCTTAACTTCCAATCATCCTGCAGTTTCCAATTGCCAACAAGTAATGTTTTTGATAGGCTTCATCTTCTTTACGCATTTGCCAATTTGGCATGCCCCAATTATTATTTTTCATCCATTAAGTTCCCAATTCCCCCACTCAGATAGTGCACTGTGCACCATTGAAAAAGATGAAAAGGGTTTAATAAAAATTATAAAAAAAAGATTTCTCTGAATCTCTGGATAAAATCAAACTAATTAACAAGGTTACTTCTATAGTGCCTAAGATTATATCAAATCTTCAAACTAGTAATTAATCATCTGTCACCTGCTGCCAATTTGGTGTTGCAAAATGCCAAAAGAAAACCAGGCCAAAGAAACAAATGAAACCCAGAAGGCTTTCTTTCTACAATATAAATGTAATGTAGTTGAGAGAGACTGAGTCAATGTTTGGTGCTAGCAAGCTTCTGAATCTGAAGGTACATTTACATTGGGAAAGATGAGGATACATAAGACAAAGGAAATTCCTGTCATGGCAGCTCATTGCTTTTGGTATTCTAGTGCTTTGTTAAATATTCATCAAGGAATGATCCAAACTACATAAAGATGAAGCTTTATTTGTATTCACACTCTTGGGATGTTCCCTTCGAAAAGTCATCACCCCTTATTATGTAATAATTGAAATTGTTTATTAAAATATGTTCAATGCAACAGAAAAAACAGAAATTAATGATTTTAATAAAAGTCCATAACAATATCAACCCTTGAGAAACTAAGAGTTCTTGTCTATAAGTGAAAGGGTTTCTGTCTCCGATGGCAGGAGTTCCCTTAAAACCTCCCATCACCTTTTCTGGTTCTCACATCAGAAAATGTTCTTGTCTATAAGCAAAAGGGTTTTTGCAATAAGTTCACATTAGCAATAAGGCAAGTAAAAATGCTTCACAATGAAGTAAAGTAGAAAGAAATCACATTTGCATTTCAACGATTGCTTCATTCCTTGGTAACCAGCCTACGTTCATATTGAATGAGAAATTTGATTAACTTGAACCATTTCCAAAGTCTCAAGTCCCTTTTTTCAGGGAAAAAAAAAAAGTAATATGCATCATTAGAAGAAATAACATATCCAACAGCGTATACGGATGTGAAACAAAATTTGGTATCTTGAAAAAAGTTGGTGAGCTTGCCTTATGCAGCCGACAACACTGAATCATAGTTTTGGAGAAGAGCATTATCACAGTACCAGTCCATAGGATCCAAATCATGCATCAAAGCCTTTACATTAGCATCAAAATCCATCCTTTTGATTTCCTCCATTAAAACTCCCAATACACAATATATCTCTTCACAATGGGAGTGGGAACGATCTTCAGCTTTGAAAGAAAAAACCTCATTCTTAATTTCTATCCAACTCCAACCGGGAACTTTTCTCACACCCCTTTCCCTCATAAGCCTCTTTACACTAGCTTTTTCATCCCACCTTTTGAGATGTCCATACATGTCGGAAAGAAGAACATAAGTGCAGTGCTCTTCAGGCTCTAGCTCTAGCAGATAGCCTGCTATTTGACTAGCTAATTCAATATTCCTGCAAGCCCTACAGGCACCCAATAAAGTCTTCAAAACCATTGCATCGGGTTTAAAGGGCATTGCTTCAATCAAAGCTTTTGCCTCATCTAGACGCCCAGCGCGCCCATATAGATCCACTGCACAAGCATAATGCTCCATTCGTGGGGTTATTCCATAATCAGATTCCATAGACATTAGAAACTTGCAGCCTTGTTCAACCAAACCCATGTGGCTACAAGCTGTTAGAACTGCAACAAAGGTTATATGATCAAGTTTCACCTTGTCCTTCCTCATTTGGAAGAAGAGATCAAGTGCAACATATCCCTGTCCATGCTGTGCATATCCAAAAATAATCGAATTCCAAGTGATTGAGCTGTCTTTGGGGGTCTGTTCAAAGGATTTTCTAGCATCCTCAATGATCCCACACTTAGTATACATAAAGATCAAAGAACTAGCAACAAATTCATTGGACTCAAGCCCTGACTTATTTGCCAAGGCATGTATCTCTTGACCCAGTTGGAGGGTTGCTAAATCTGAAGAAGACCTGAGGACAGCTGAGAAGGCATAATGATCAATCTCTACCTCTGCGTATCTCATATGTCCAAAGAATTTCAAGGCATATTCATTCAACCCCATTTGCGATAATCCAGTCAAAATGGAGTTCCAAGAAACACGATCCTTAGACTCCATAGATTTAAATATCTGTAATGCTTCTTCCATGGAATTGCTATTTGACTTGAGATACCTGGCTATCAAAGCATTAGAGATTGGCTCTGACTTTTCTAGTCCCCTTTTTATTACCAATCCATGATAGGATTTTCCATGGTTTTTATGTACGTCTTCAGAATAGGCACTGATGATGCTCGTATAACTGTAGATGTCTGGTTCAAACCCAAGCACTTGCATGTCTATGAAGAGTTTGCAAGCGAGTAGTTCTTTCTTATGAATCAAGTATGCTGCTAGCATGGAATTCCATGTTACCAAATCTCTGCTACACTCTGAGTATGAAGTGATTGTGGCATTGCACACAGTACTTTTACAATCCAGCCCATGTTTCAGAATTTTACAATGGATTTGCATTGTGGACTTGTAAAACTCAGCATCATCAAGCAATGTCAATATTGGAGCAATTGCGCCATCATCAAGCTTCACACCCTCCTGCTCCATACAATTCATCAACCAAAATGCCGTTTTACGATCACCTACTTGCACAAAACCAGCAATTAATGCATTCCACGACACAGAATTACGTTCTGGCAAGGAATCGAAGACCACATATGCTTCCTCAACTCTCCTACACTTTGCATACATGTCCAAAAGAGCACTGCCCGAATAAACATTACCCGCGTAACCAGTCTTAACAACCATGGAATGCACTTGTTCCCCAAGATCACATCGATAAGCACAAGCGACCCCCTTAAGTATGCTTCCAAATGTATACCCATCAAAATCGAATCCGCATCTTTTCATCTCTTTTAGTATCTCCCACGCAGCCTCAAAGTTCCCATAGTTCACATGCCCAGCAATCATCGTATTCCAAGACACAGTGTCTCTTTGGGGCATGTCGTCGAACGTTTTGTGTGCAAGAAAAAAATCATGACATCTTGCATATCCATTTAGGATATTGTTGCCGTAGTAAACGTCTGCGAGGAGCCCTAATTTGATTTCCCTAC